CCGTGATTTGGGGCTCCCCGGCCTTCGCCTGATTAAAAATTCTTCCGTCCTGAAGAACCCGGCACCCCATAATTTCTTAAAAGTACATAGGAGTCCTTCAAAGCGTTGTCTGTGGCGGAAATTGGGGGAGATCCCGGCGAAGGTGATCTCATGTGGGGCCATAGGATCAGGCGTCCGCCGTGGGGAGCTCGATCCCGCCAGGGGTCCTCGTCCGGCTCGACTAGAAGACGAAGGGGGCGTCTCCCCAGCTTCTGCGGCGTTGGTGGAGAGCTGAGGTGGAGGCAGGCTGCGGCAGCGACGGCGACGGTGGCGGCGGCGGCGGCGCCATGGCAGGGCTCGCAGGTACCGTGGCGTCAGCCCGCGGGGAGCGAAATGAGAGGCCCTCCTTGCGGCCGCGCCGCCATGTTGTCCCCTCGGGGTCACCTTAGGCGTCGCTGGGTCCCTCATTGGGTTTTTTTTCCGCGTGCCCGGGGGTGGGGGCACCCCTGTCCGGCGTCGCGTGGTTGCCCTGCTTCGCTCCGGCCTGGGCCTGGCGGGTCCCTTCCCGGCCCGAGGGTGGGTCAGCGGGCTCCTGGGTTCTCGCTCGGGCCTCCAAGGTCAGCGCCCTCCCGGGATGGGGCAGGTAGGACTGGGGAGAGCGACCACTACCTCTTCGCCCTGGGACCCAGGCAGGGGGCCAACTTGAGGGGGGCCTGTCACTCTTTCCCCGCCACTTCAGTTGCCTTTTTTTTTTTTTTTTTTTTTTAAATCAGAAGGGGCGTGGGGTGGGCGAGGCCCCCGGGTTCCGCTTTGGTGTCGGGTGGTAGGTGGACGCTTTGCTTCGGGTCGCGGGCGCTTCTCATCCCCTCTAACTTCACATCCAGTCTGGACGTTCGTTCCCTTTCTTCCAGTGCATGGGGAGTGGCCCTCAAGGGCAGCTGAAGGAACGGAATGCCTGGCACACTCCTGGCCTGGAAAGGAAGAATGGGGGGATGGGGACCGTTGCTTTCCCTTCCTCCTTCCAGACCGGCTTCAGTTTCCTTCCAGGCCTTTTCCATAATAAACGCTGGGAAACTGGGGTCTGCCCTAGGAAAGAAACTGCCTTTCTGTTTATAGGTTCGGATCGTCTTTTGTCCCTTTCAGGGAACTGGTGTGTTGGGGACGGCCTCTCCGCCCTGCCTGACACGGTCCAGCCATCCTGTCAGCCTTCTGGACGGCAACACCAAAGCCAGGACCAAAAAAAAAAAGTTTCCGATTCAGTGCTACCGCCAAGTGTTCGATCTTATTTGTTTTAAATCAGAGATTAATTGACGGCAAGCAGATCTCTTAGAAGGCTCAGTTGCTGGAAACCTGTTCAATTTCCAGTGACTAGATCAATTCTGTATCTGAAGTTGGTCTTCTTAGAATTGCTGCCAAAATAGTGAAAGCTTTTTTTTTTTTTTCCCTTCTGTAATATGTTTTTTCAAAGAGGAATCCGGCTTAGGCTGTCCTTTTTTGTTGTTGTTTGTTTTTGTTCTCCTGTCTTTGACATACATGCATTCCATTTCAGACCTATCACTGTGTGATATACCAAAGGCCATGTGTTGCCTGCCACTCTGACTTCCAGAATACTCAGGAATCTGGATCCTGTAGGAGGGGAAGTGGGGAGAATAAAGGGGATCATTCTCAGAAGAGATAGTAACGGGTCTCAGGGGCATATGGAGAAAGAGGTCACCCCAGAAAAAGAGACTGTTTTTATACTAGTGTGTGCACATATGTGTACACACATGTAAATCTCTGAAGGGAATTAAATGCATCTTCAGACTCTCCCCCTGGGGTGTTTGTTTCTGAGGAGAAACAGGTTTGAAAATAGAATCTAGTAAATGGCTTACAACACAATTGCTCCCCCATCCAGCCATGTGTACTAAACTGTTGCTGGTTCTATAGTTGAAACTCAAGAAACTTGTCCCTTCTCTAGCCTTCCCCCCATAACAACTATTCCTTCCTTCAGTCACAACTCAGGTGCTTCAAAGATAGAGGTATCAAGTGTCACATAGCACCCACACTCTTGGAAGTTTTGGTACCATCCCCCAGCCTGTCCCAACTTCACCTTGTTGGTCTAAGAAAACTTGACATCCTTTTCAGGTATTCGACCCAAGGTGTGGGACAATAACCTGTTGCTGGCGTCCCATGAAGCCATTCCAATCTCCTCACAATTCTCTTTTCTTGGCCTTATAGGGACAAAGTTGGGAGGTGGGGGGTTAGGGAGGAATGGTTTAGGGAAAGGGGACATTTAGCTTTATGTACTCAGGGCTTTGCAATAAAACCAAATATCCTTTTGCTCTGTGAGAATAAAAATTTTTTATGATATAGCTTGTGAAAAACATTTTATAAACAAGATGTGTTCGGATCAGACTTCTAGTCATTGCATGGGGATGGAAAGTCAATGCATTTCTTTTGTCCTCTAGTTGGTTAAATTTGCTGGTTAAGTTTGAGAGTGGGGACAAAAGGGATGCAGCCCACCAAGGCAGTCCTTGCCCACCCAGAATCTATCATCTTAGTACATATACTCCGAGCCCTGCTGAAGGATGGATGGAGGAAAGGGCTTTGCCAAGATCATCTGGAAAGCCCTGAGGTTACCGGCAGTACCCTGCCTTCTGAAGGGGAGGAGCACAGGAAATGCTATGTCCAGAGTTGACAGGCCCTTCCATACTGCTTTGGATTCTTTCTGTGAACTCAGCTGTTGTCTAACTTGAACTGAGTTTAGAGCATCTGGGGCAGTGGGGCAGTAGCACACCCCGAAGGCTGTGAGGGAAGGGTCAGCCTTCATTGAGAACACATGTTGAAATATGTGCCTGGTTCCTTGGGTTTAGTGTGAAAAAACCACAGAAGCTCCTTGTCTTGAGGCCGGTTAAAATATAGGCTTCAGGAGGGAGGAGGTGTGGGCCTTGCCTGCTAAAGAGTCACCCTTGGATAAGAGGAGACCTGCTTTACCTTCAGGCCATGGTAGTGGATATAGCCACCCAGTTAAGGAAGATAGAGTCTATCATTGCCATCCCACCCGAGTACCGATTGCTGCTTTGGCAGAATGTTTCTAATGTATGTGGGTCGACAGGATCTTAGAGGAGCTCTTCCAGAGGGGAACTAAAGATAAGGGGTGAGAGGGACCTGGCTGGGTGCCCTAGGCTGATTTAATTGATGGCTAAGCCAAGACCAGACCAAGATCCCACACAGTTCTCTGATGCTGAGTGAAGTTATAGGGTCTTCAGAGATGCTGGTGATTGGACTGAGGAATATAAGAGGCTTGTTTAGGGAAGGGAAACATCAGATTCAAGAGGCCGAGGTGCTTTGTGCTCCAGCATGTTTGTAACAACTGTGTGACTAAGGGATTTGAGGAAGTGGAAGAAGAGATTTATGGCCTTCCAACTCCCTGCCTTGGTGCTGACCCAGGAACAGGTGTGTAGTGACAGGAATGGATAAAACTAGAGATGAGGCTGAACAGGTGGTGGGGCCACTTGGTGAGGCAGTCAGCTGACCAACTGAGTCAGTAAAAGGAGTCCTGACTCGCTGAGGAGTGAGGGGAGCAGAGCAGCCAGCCCACCCATCCTGGTTGATGGCAGGGAAGAGTCCAGGGCCAGGGACCTGGTAAGCAACCCTTAGGGATAGAGAGGCCAATGCTGGGGTGGGGGGGGAGCTGGGAACCCGGCAATGGGGAGAGAGCAGGGGAGAGGTTTCTGGAGTGGGGTTGGAGGTGGGGAGACCCTAGGGAATATCAAAGTTAGGATGGACGGACTTGGAGCATTAAGCTGGGGGAAGGAGGCCCCATACCGCACCTCCTATCCCATCCTCATTGCCTAAGCCAGGGTCCACCCTGCCCAGTTCCCACCCTGCCCAATGCTTATTTCCTTGGGGCCCCTGAATAGAGACTGGAGTGTAGCTTTGTGTCTGAAATCATCCCCTTGGGCCTCAGTACCCCATTTTGAGTGCTACTCCCACTTTTTCCCCCTTCTCCCAAAGTGATATCCTGTGGTGAGGCTCTTATTCCAGCACCGCAGGTGAAGGCTCCCACCCCTCTGGGGAGGGGGAAGTGGTCCCTTATTCTGGGATCACAAGTAAAGATGTCAACTTTCCTCTTTGGGGAGGGGCATAGTCCTTTATCTCAGGACAGTGGGCCCACACCACAGTGGGCACATTGGCCCAGCCTTAGCAAAGTGTGTACCCCCGCAAAATAAGCCACAAGAGACATCTTTTGGTGCGCCTCCACCAACCCGCAGGGTCCTAGGACACTGTGCGAGTCGGGGGAGGTACTGTTTTTTTTATTTTTTGTAGAGGCGGTCCCTGTCCTCCAGGAGCTTACAATCTAGCTGGGGAGACACAACTAACGCACACTTAAACAATCAGTACAATTAGCGATTACCACAATATTGACCACAACTGCGTGAGACCTGGGAAAGCAAGATCAGTGAGGGGCAGGGGGCTCGGAGAAGACGTTTTGTACAAAGATGGGATTCTTTTATTGGTTGTATAGGTCCAAATTAAGTGACACATTTTGTGGGGATAGGATGGGCTTGGGAGTCAGCGAGGAGAAAAGAGGAATGGAGGGAGCAGAGGCAGCAGGGCTGGAATGCTGGCGCGCACACTGTAGGCAAGGGACGGTGATAGGGCCCCACTCTGTTTCTTAACCCCGCTCCTTCGCTGCCCATGCCCTCCAGTCCTGCCACTCGCAACACAGTTGGCGCCTCCTCTGCTGCATTGAGATTCAGGGCTTCAGCTGGTGCTGTTGGAATGTCCATTTTGCTGGCTGGTGTGGTGTTTGGATCTCCTTGGTGGGGCCTGTTGGCATGGCTGCAGCTCCGGGGCTTGGATAGTGCTGTCCCGACTTGGTCCAGATCAGAATGTGATGCCTACGCCCAGATCTCGGGGGTCTGCTCCCCCCACCCCTCTCAATCCCCACCCCACCTGCGGAGGGGCAGGTGCAAAGGGGTTGGGAAGGGATCTAGTATTGTCGAAATTGTCGGTGCTGCTTCTCCGGGGGCCTACCAGCCCCTCACTGACCTTGGCAAGTGCTCCTCTGGCGAGGGAGCACAGGGGACCCCCCATTCCTGCGCGGCGCTGGCTCCCATGCTGGTTGAGCTGCACAGGAGCACCTGATGATACGGCCGCCCAGGGCTGGGAGCTGCGGCCTCAGTTGGGGGCTCGCTGCCGGCGCTCCCCCAGCACCTGCCGCCCGGTCCGGGACACCGTGTACGCCAGCTTCTGCAGGGAGTACCTGAACACCTGCGGTGAGAGACCCAGGATCCACCCTTAATAGAGGGAACCCGCAGTGTGTCCGGTGCTGCCGTGCCCACCCGCGCCCCACCCCCTGCCCCGCCCGCCTGCCCAGCATAGGCTGGAGAGGCGGGCGCGGGCGCAGCTTGTCCACGAGTCAGGGCAGCTGGAGCTTTTCCAACTGTGCTGAGAGCTGCATGGCGGCAAGCTGATTGGACCCACAACTTAGGTATACCTCACTTCTCGCAATGGGCTGTGTCCCTGGAGGATTTCGAAAAGCGAATCCTACCCAGTAAATGCAGCATTCCAGGAACACCTTGAAGGAAATATGCGATTCCTTTGGCAAAAGATTCCTTTAGCAGGGAATTCTTCCTGCAAAGGGAGCTTTTCGGGTAAATGATTTTATAGGCAAAGCGCTTTTTTTTTTCCGATTTATTTTATGCAAAGCACTTTTGCCTTTTTTTTTTTTTTCAACAAAGTGATTTGTCCTTTTTTGGAAGCACTTTTTTCCCCTTCCATTTTTTTTCTGCGAAGGGCTTTTTCCTCTAATTGTTTTATTCAAAGTGTTTTTGTCGGATTCATTTGTTTTTTCTGTTAGCTCCTTTGTCTGATTTTTTTTTCTGCAATGCGCTTTTTATCTAGTGCTTTTTTCCTACCAAATGCTTTTGAACGATTTTTTTTTTCCTGCAATGCGCGTTTTCTTCTATTTTTCCCTTTAATTACTTTTTCTCTTTTGGTGTTTCCTTTTGTGAAGTGATTTTTTTTCCCCTGAGAAGTACCTTTTTCTAACTTGCTTTTTGTCCCAACCCTGCAAGCGCAAATATATATATATATATATATATATATATATATATATGTGTGTGTGTGTGTGTGTGTGTGTGTATTTTTTAAAGAAAATTTCCCCGCAATGCGCAATTTTTTTAAGACGGAATTTTTTTGCTAGGCGAGCGATAAAGTCTTGAAACATACAAGCGCCCCGCCTCCCTCCTTCGAGTCTGGGTATAGCGGGTTTCTCTTACCACGTAGGTCTCTAAAAGCCTCAGCGATCGTCCGCCTCGCCCGAGTCTTTGTTCCTAGCTGGGCGCGGGCGCACTGGGAAGGGTCTGCTCGAGGAGGTGGGCGCAGGGAACTCGCGAGGGGCGCGCGGTGCCGCAGCGGCACTTGGGCGGACAGGGATCGCGGCAGTCGGGATAGGATGGGTTCGGGAGGCGGCAATCGCGACGCAGGGTTTGTGGGATCGGGATGCGCGCACCAGGAGCCCTCTTCGACCTGGAGTTCCCACACGCTTACCTGCAGCAGCACGCGGAAGATGTACCAGCCGATGATGAGCAGTTCAGCCGAGGCCGCTGCCACTGCTGCCATGGTTCCGAGAGTCCCTGGAGGGTAGTCGAGAGAGCAAGGGTTCACCGAGATCTGCTGGTCTCTCGGAGTCCGCTGTCGGGCGTACTGCCGCAGCGGCCGCGGCCGCGCCTTAAGTACCCTCCCGCCACCTAACTGCGCATGCGCACTCGGGGGGGCTGTCCAAGAGGAGGGGTGGCGGGGGGCGCTCTTCATTCGCCAAGCGAGAAAAAAATAATCCATCTGCTCTTTTCACACTGACCCCCGCCTCCTGAGTCCCATCTTAGCCCCCTTCCAGAAGATTCCGCCATGCCCGCTTTTGAATTTCGGTGTAAAATGGAGGGGCGTCACGACTCTGGGTAGAGTAGAGGGCAAGGGTAGGGAATGCAAGCCTCCTGTTGTGGCACCCCTCTCTCTAAGCTCTGGCCTGTAAATTTGAGCCCAATGTCCAGTGCTGTGCCAGAACGTACCTCCCGCACAGGTGGAAAACCTAAGTTATGGGAGGGGTCATCAGCCCGGTAGAGCAAAAAAAAAGATACTCCTTCCAGGAGTCATGGCATCGGAGGCCCCTGCTCAGCACTCTCCTAATATACAATGTCCTCTGCTTCATTGGAGTCCCTGAGCAAGAACCCTTCGGTGATTCTTAACATCCCGCTTTTTATGGTAGCGAGAAAATCGGTATCTGCAGCAGTGGCGGTGGCTACTGTAGGGACCCGGGCCAGGACACTGCACTCTTACCGCAAAAGATATAGTATCTACTCTGTGGGAGGGAAGAAAGAAGGATTGGCGCCCTTTGTGTGCGCGAAAAGAATGAGCTCTACCGAAAAGGGGTCGGAATGTGTTCGGAAGAGTTTTCTGCAGGACAGATCATTTCAATCTCTGCCTTCCGCTCCCCTCCCCCAGATCCTGGTAGGTCTGCCTCAGCTTGCTTGGGTCTTTGTATCTCTTGTTCCACAGGGCTGGAGCACTGAGCCGGATTTCTCTACAGCCGCCAAGGCTTGGGCTACCGTAGCTGGGTAGCTCCGTTTAATAGCGAAGCGAGTCCCTCCCTGCGCTTCCCTAGTTGAGCGTGGGTTTTGCGGGTCTGTCTCAGAGCACCAGCCTGGTGGTTCCCTCCACGGAATGTTGGATTTGTACATGGAAAGACCAAAACCGGGTGTGCAGCGGGGCCCAGCGCCTGGTTGGCCTGCGGAAAGCACCTCTCTCCAACAAGCTACCTGGCATGGAGACTAACTGGCACTTACCCCTACATGGATAGGAAATTAATTTTGATTAAAAGCTCATGGAGGTCAGGTTCTGTACAATGCCAGCAGCAGATGGAGGCGTAATGATCCAAGGGAGTTCAGTTTGGTTGAAGTAGCATAGTGATTCTTTTCCCTACATCGACTTTCGAAGAAGTTGTTTGGTTTTGGCAAAATGACACTGGACTGTTTGAAAAAAACAAGACCAGCCCAGGCTGCCATCTTAAAATATTTGGTGCCCAGCCACTGCTGTAGCTTCCCAGCCCAGAGCTTGCAAGGAGCCATTGCCCACCCTCATACTGGTCCTGCAGTATGCTGCTGACTGCTTTAACTCACCACTCACTGGTTGCTCCAGCTCAGCATCTGTGCTGGGGGAGAGACTAGCTACAGAACCCTTCTTTACCACATGGGGGCACAGTATGGAACCCATGGAGGTCCTGTGGCAACCACAGGGCGGTATTGTGAGGTCTGGGCCCTCTGAGGACAGGCCGCAGCCCCAGGAGGCGATACATGATCTCTGCCGGGCAGGACCCAGGCAAAGCCAGTCCACTGTGCAGACCGTGCCAGAGCCCTCTGGGGGACCCCTCCCCAGTGGAAACCCCAGGGAGACACCTCAGGAGGTTTCCTGAACTGGTGGCTTGGAGAGGAGTAGAACTTGCTCTGGTGGGCGGGGAGGAAAGGGCATTCACATTTAACTGTTGTTAACCATGATCCATTTTCCCAAATAAGTATACATTCTGTTCCTGTTTTTTTTTTTTTTTTTGTCTGTCTGTCTGTTCTTTGTCTGTTTGTCTGTTGTGTTGACTTTTCTCTTCAGGATCCCTGCTGCCTTGGTGATCCCGGGCTGACAGCCAGAGAGCACAGCGGCTCAGCTCCTGGAGAGAGGGTTGAAGAAAGCGGAGGGCAGCCGCCTGCGCCCGCTGGCTCCCATTAGGTCGGTTCCTGCAGCGGTGCCCGGCAGCCTTGGCGAAGGCCCTGCCCAGCAGAGATCATGTATTGCCTCCAGTGGCTGCTGCCCGTCCTCCTCATCCCCAAGCCCCTCAACCCCGCCCTGTGGTTCAGCCACTCCATGTTCATGGGCTTCTACCTGCTCAGCTTCCTCCTGGAGCGGAAGCCTTGCACAATTTGTGCCTTGGTTTTCCTGGCAGCTCTGTTCCTCATCTGCTATAGCTGCTGGGGAAACTGTTTCCTGTACCACTGCTCGGATTCCCCGCTTCCAGAATCAGCACACGACCCTGGTGTTGTGGGCACCTAACAGCTGCCCTGTTAGCTTTCTACGGAAGCAGAAGACGGGAGGGGAGGCATTGACATAGGTCATAAAGCATTGGAGTTTCAAATCCCGCAGCCCCGCGGGTGCCACATTCCTGACGGCGCCTTTTTGGCCTGTGATGTTTTATCCTTATAATGTGAATAATGGCACTGACCTGTGCTTTTATTGTAGAGTCCTGTAGTCATGGGTGGTCTTGTGATTGTGTGTGTTCTGTCCCCATCTGGGTCCCGGCTGGCAGGATGGCCACTCCCCTCGCCTCATTACAGCGAGGAGTCTACATCCATCCTAGTCAACTGCCCTGGGCAGATAAAATGCCAGTCTCCTTGTCACCTCTGTGACCCCTCCTTGTCAGGGTCTCTCTCCTTCCCAGAATGTTACTGACACCTCAGCCCTTCTCCTGTTTTCCCTTTAGTTCTCTTCTACCCTTTCCTTTTTTTGGGAGCACCTGTTCAAAACAGGGCTCATTTTTGCACTTATCTCGAATTTGAAGAGATTGCTGATGCCCGAGAGCCTCGCTTTTTCATCCTCCTTCCCCTTTTCAGCAGGCTAGACAGAAACATGTCTTGACTGTTCATTGTCCACAAACCTCCAGTGTTTCCTCTGCTTCATTTTTAAGAGAGAAGCAACAGATAGAGGTTGTTCTTTCACCTGAGTGTCTGGGCTCCGGCTCCCCAGCCCAGCCTCGCTTCCCTTGCCCTTCCTTCCTGCCTTTCTCAGCATCCTGAGAGGGGGCCTCCTGTGTCTCCTGTGCATGCTCTGCAGGATGGAGGTATGGTGTGTTTGTGTAGAGCTAGTGGTCCCCTGCTGAGTGAATGGGAACATTCTTTTGTGTTTCATAGCAGCCGTGATCCCCTTGATAGGTGTTTGGATATTTTTCAGTGTGCCCTGTGTGTGTGTGTGTGTGTGTGTGTGTGTGTGTATGTACGTGCAAATACATGTGTGTATTCCTTTTAAAGAAGCTTTACCGAACGTGTTCTGATTTTGAGGTTTAGCAGTAGCTAGCTGTATGTAGTAGGTACCGCTGCAGTTTTTATTTAGCATGGGGATTGCAGAGTGACCAGCACACTGGACTCCAAGGTGATTCATACAAGACACAGGGGAGCAGTGGCCATCGTCCTCCCGCCAGGAGCTTCTTCGTTCCTGCGCAAGTAGACTGTACGTTATGAAGAACACACAGGAAGACTTTGTGACTGTCACTTGCTTTTTTCTTTCTCTGCACTTCAGTAACAAGTGTTGGCAAACGAGACTTTCTCCTGGCCCCTGCCCACTGGGGATCAGCATGGTTGTCCTTCGAGTCGGAACCATTCCTCTCTCTTGCCTGAGGAGGGAGGGAAGCAGGCCAGGCAGAGGACAGAACTGGAGGCAGTCCATCTAGGGAATGGGACTGTGAGGCCACACTTGTGAAACATTTGGACTGCTGTTGTAGAGCTTTTATTTCTGATGTGTTCGTTGCACAGCTGTTTGAAATGTTTAATAAAGCTTTATAAACTTTACTTTGTGGTTTAATGTGGCTGCAGTCCATTTGGGCCATGGTGTTGGATTTCTGAGTTGGTGGGGGGCAGGGGGAAACACCGAGGGGCTGAGTCCTTGGCGCCAGAGTACCTTAGCCTGAAAATTTGATCTGCTCTCTGGAGAGCAGATGGTGGAGCTGGGGGATGGGGGGCAGGGGCAGGCCAGGCGATGAACAGGAGGGAGTCTGAAAGTTTTCAGAGATGAGACATTTGTGTTTCTCAGCTCCCATGGCTTCCCGCCTGAAATTGTTTCCCTCCATAGGAGATTTGAGTAACTGATCCCTTGACAAACAACTTAAGACAGCTGGAGCTCTAATCATCAAGGATTTTTATGGTGCTGCTTTTGAAGTAAAAATAAAGTGAAACCCCTCATGGCATCTCAAGTGGAAAAATAAATAAGACTGGCGGTCCAACCAGCAGACTTAAGGTGGTGGCTAGAAGCAGGAAAGTGGTACGGTTCCATGTTGGGGATGTGTACAGACTCCCATTGGCCACCAACCTTGAGACAGAGCAGGGAAGTTTGTCAGGGCCCTGAGCTGGACATCCACTCCTGACTCTATTCTTACTCCCAGGATCATAGGAGTGCTGCCTGCTCAAGGCATAAGGCTCTCACAAGGAATTACTGAGATAAGAATTGTGGAAGGGTTTTGGTAACTTCCTAGAAGTTACCTTTCTTACTTGGACTGTTAATTTATTGCTATAAAGTTGTATGCAGTTTTCTCCTGCTCTTTTAAGTCCCCCCCCATTGTTACTTTATTCCTTTTTTCATTCCTAGCATTGCTTATCCAGGCTTTCCCTTGATCAAAACTTACCAAAAATTTATCTGTTTTAGAGGTATTTTCAAAGAACCAAAATTTTAACCATCATATATGTTGGGTATTTTTCCTACCTGACTCATTGGTTCTTTTATCTATAAATTTTTTCTTTTCTGGGTTTCTGAATATATTTTGTGGTTCTGTAGTCTTGCAAGCTGAGGATTCATATATACAGAAAGGACGGTTTGTTCAACAAACATTGAGACCTTGTACTAGGCTTGCTGGGGATTTCAGGGGCAAGACCCAGGCCTGGCTCTCCAAGACCTCATGATTCTAGCCTGGTG